CCTAAGGATCTAGCATACTAGTTCTGGCAGACTGTAGACCAAGATAGGCCTTCTGGCCTAAGGTGCAGAGGCTGCCACCCCAGGAATGGGGTTGATAGCAAGCGGGTATGGGGTCCCAGCCCCACCCTACTCCACTGTGTCCCAGCCCAAGAGCTTAACAATGGCAGAGTGTTTCACCACTGGGTCAGCGGGGATTCGGCTGCAGCACACTGACCTGGGTTCAGGCAGCAACACAGCTGGACGATAGTCAGCTGTCCCTGGGCTACTTCCTATCCTCCCTTCAGGGTGTATCTGAATCCCAGGGTCATCCTCCTTCTCCCTGGGGTACACTGCCAGTGGCAATCCCAGCAGCTCCTCAGCATCTGGCATGTCTGGCAGCTCTAGTAAGTCCTCAGGACGTCAACAGTCTTCTGCAGGCTCCTGCTGCTGGAGCAGGTTCAAAGTGTCTGTCTCCCTCAAGTGAGCTGCAGGGCCTGCTTTTTGTATTTCCTGTTCCTGTCCCACCCCTCTGCTTCAGCAGGGCGGGCATGGCCTACCGGGTTCTGCCCACCAGGCGTCATGCAGCCATCCCTCCCTGACAATCTCTGAGGGAGGCCATGCCTCCTTGCTACATCTACCGATTACCTGCTCCCAGAATCTGTCGATCAGAGTTCTCAACTATATAAAGGGCAGGAGGACTTATTCATGGGTGTGCTTGTTCTGAGCAAAGGCGGTTATGAACTTGTAACCACAGAAAAACCCTTGGTGGCGTTTTAAGGAATGACTCCTACCAGAGTCCTTCCTGGAATTAGGGTTGATGTCTAGTAAGCTTATTAGAATGCGTGTAGGGTATTTTTTATTGTTTTAAAATGTTTTCTCTGAAATGCTTTCACCTTAAGAATAAACGTACTTGATTAGAAAAAGCTGTGTGGTACCTCATAACTGAGGGCACTTACAACTTTTTATGGCAGGGGTGGGCAAACTACGGCCCACGGGCCAGATCCAGCCCCTCAGGGCTTTGGATCCGGCCCGCGGGACTTGCCCCCCGTGGTGCCGCAGGCCCCGAGCCGCTCTCAGAAGCAGCCAGCACCATGTCCCTGCAGCCCCCGGGGTGGGGGGGGGAACAGAGGGCTCCATGCGTTTTCCTTACCTCCAGGCACTGCCCTCCACAGCTCCCATTGGCCGGGAATGGGGAACTGCAGCCAATGGGAGCTTCAAGGGACGTACCTGGAGGCATGGCAAGGGCAGCGCGTGGAGTCCTGTGCCCCCCCATCCTCCAGGGGCCGCACAGGGACGTGGTTCCAGCCGCTTCCCAGAGCAGCGCAGCGTGGAGCCAGGGCAGGCATGCAGGGAGCCTGCCCTGGCCCCAGTGCATGCTGCTGCCACCCTGGAGCCACTTTAGGTAAGCAGCGCCGGGTTGGAGCCTGAACCCCTCCTGAACCCCACCCCCCAACTCCCTGCCCTAAGCCCCCTGCCTGCACCTCGCACCCCCTGTGCACCCCAACCCCCTGCCCTGAGCCCCCTCATACATCCCTCACCCCTCCTCTGCCCCAATCCCTTGCCCTAGCCTGTTCCTGCACACCGCACCCCCTCCCGCACCCCACACTCCCTCCTGTACCCCAACCCCCTGCCCCGGCCCTGCATACAATTTCCCCACCCAGATGTGGTCCTCAGCTCAAAAAGTTTGCCCACCCCTGGTTTACGGCCTCTGAGAAGAGAGCAAAACAGAATTGCTTAAACAATCTGAATTGCTGGGGAATTCACAGGGTAGGCAGGGAACTGTGCAGCCTGGTAATAGCCCAGTCAGGAGTGAGATATGTATCTCTGCTCAAGAGAGGTGATAGCTGGGGAGCGGAAAGCCTGAGAGTAGGTGTCTTTGATGAACAATAGAGGAGGAATACAGTTGAAGTTGCCCAGAACTGTGACACTATTACATTATCTATTTTACCATAAAAATTACCGATAACTTTAAAGGTGGGCACCTCATGGTATATTTTCAATGAGGGCTACACATAAAATACCATAATCGCATATCACGCCCAACAGTTGCACTGAAGTCAATGGAAATTTTGCATACATTAGGGACTGCCAGCTTGGGATGAGCATTTGTTTTTGTAAAAATAACTACTTTAAGGCCTATGCTTGCAAATATTTCCAAGAGTAGGGCTCATTTCTGGCAGAGGTCTCATGGAAATAAGTAAAAAGAAAAGGAGTACTTGTGGCACCTTAGAGAGTAACCAATTTATTTGAGCATAAGTTTTCGTGAGCTACAGCTCACTTCATCGGATGCTTATGCTCAAATAAATTGGTTAGTCTCTAAGGTGCCACAAGGACTCCTTTTCTTTTTGCGAATACAGACTAACACGGCTGCTACTCTGAAACATGGAAATAAGTGTTTGTCAGAGTGGCTATTTTTATGATAATAGATTACCATCCCAATTCTGAGGTCCCTACACAGGCAAAATTCCCCATATACTTTAGTGTGGGTTTGGGGAATACAGGATCAGACCTGATACGTGAATTGGACTGACTTCAGCTAGTAAGCACAATTGGTAGAAGCAACCCTCAAAGTGGTGGTTCTTGTTGATTATTATGATACATTTCATAGTTGATTAGTAATATAAATTCCAGCATATAATTAAATATTTTGTCAAAAATCATTCAGCAGCCAAGGTAAACCAGCAGTTTGCCAGTTTAAAATTGTGTGTGTGCAGAGGCTGCAAATGTAAAACCATCTTCTAAAGCAAATGCCCGCTTCTTTACTTTATATAGCAATCTAAGCAAGAAAAAAATATGTAGTATAAATCTATAAAATCACTGGATTTCCTCTCATGGTGTTTTCAGCCAAGGACTATGCTTTCTGTTTCTCTAGAGTGAGATCTGATTTGAGGAGGCAGATATTTTGTAGTCTGTGCTAATATTATTCTGCTCAGGTATCCCTGCAGATCAAGACTCTGGAAATGAAAGGCCATATTTTACTGCAACTAGATTGACGTCAATTCCAGTCCAAGGGGGTAGCCAAAACAAAATCAAAATACCACCCCCACTTTGGTTTACTCCTTCCCAGGAATTATTAGCTTGGTCAGCAAAAGGTTTCTTAACATGGTATATGCCAAAAAAAAGTATTACAAATGGCTGTAATCATTAAAAATAAGTCTGATACTCATTACAGTAGTAGAAGAATGCTTATTATTATTTTTTTAAAAATCACAATACTTCTAATTTAAAATAAGGGATTATTTTCAGTTTTGTTAAATGTTATTGTAAATTATTGAGAAAATGGTTAATAAAAATGTGTTTACATTATACAAACAAAATGCAAAATAAATTAACTAGTAAATATTATATATGCTGGTCTAAAACTGTACTCAGAACACACCTGAAGATTGTATGAGGGTAAATAACTATGAATTGCTTCCATTTCTCTGTTCAGCAATTTTAATTACTGGAATGATAGTTCCTATCTAAATCAGAGAACCTATTGCAGTCTCGATGTATAGTTTTGATGGTATTCAGGCTGAGATAACAACAAATTATAAAGCTAAATCCTAGAAGGTGGTAAGTTTTATTGACTGGTCTTAGCCACCTGTTGATCATCTCTCTTGGCGATTAATTTTGTTAAATAACATCTGAGTACAAAAACACCGGGGAACAAATTACTTCAATGGAGTTAAAATAGGGATGAATTTGGCCTTGTGTGGACTAACGTCTTCAGAATTTTCAGTTGATGGGCATTTTGACATATCACAAAGGCTACTTTATATCAACTTTATAACAACACCAGATAAAGGTCTTTGATCATGGAGATATTAATGAGTGATGCTGTCACTTCTATGACTGATTATTGTAATATTTATTTGAGGATCTTCCAAAAACTATCAAAAAACTGCAGCTGATACATAATAAATAAAATTTTTACTAATAAGGGTTATGAGAGTCTGGGTTCTAGTTGTTTGATCACATTACTTTTAAACTGAAAAGTCATTCATTACCAGTGAAATTGCATATTGATATTAAAAGTACTTTGGCTTTAATATAAATTTAGAAATACTGCTCGAGAATCTCTATGACTTACTATGTTCTTATGGCCCTAGTCATTCCAGGAGATGAGTGTTTGTTTGGTGGTTTGCCTTGGGTATAGTTTGGAAATAGTAGAGGCTACATTCTTTAATATTTTTGCCCTATACACATGAATAGAGGTTTAATCTGTTGCAGCCTTTAACTAAAAGTTGAAAGGGTAAGTGATAAATCATAATTTCACTGAATTTAAATAGTAAAGTGTCCAGCAATATTTTTGAAGTGTGCTGCATATACAATGTAGCATTACTAAAAGAATCAGTTGTCTAGGAATTTGATCTTCAGTGAACAAATCCTTCAAAGCTTACATGTAATGTTCACCTGGCTCCTGGCAAAAATCACTCAACTAAGCCACTGGGTTGTCAGAAAATTTTAAACTGCTCCAAGACAGGCAGACAACAAAGCAGCACTTACGTGATTCTCCCCATTAGTGTTAGAGTTCAATCAAGCAGAGGGAAAGAGAAACACATTTAGCTTCAGAATGGTAGATGGTCACATAAGCCAATTTATGATGGCCTTGTACAAGCTTTTAGGGAATCAACTGATTATTTCCCCAAATCAACTGATTTTATTTCTCCTTTAAGGGGAGAAATAAGGGAGTTTAGGCTGAAACTGAAAAGCATCTTGGATATTTTTCCCTTAATTTTTTAAAATGTAATATTTTAATATGGGACCAACCTATGAATAAAAGATGAGACCCTGTGAGAATTGGAGAAAAAAATCAATAAGATAAGATAAATAAATACTAGTCAGGATAATGAAAGAAAACAATCAAAAATAGCAGTTAAGCATTTTTGTGAGATATTTCCTCTGCATACGTAAAATATAGTAGTTTCCTTAGCTACAAGTACAGGGTGAGCTTTTTAGAGTAAACAAAAAGGGATCTTGCTCAGCTGGCAGGCTTTCAAGCTTTCATATCTCTGTAATCAGTTAAACACACAAAATAAAATTACACGTTCAAGGCATTTATTTCTTTGTGTACAAAATGTTATAATTTGTCAACATTGTGCAGCAAAATATACTCACACATAAAATACATTTCACTTCCCTTCTCTCTGCCCTTGGAAGTGGCAACACTGTTTGGCACTTCAGCAGCTAGAAATAAAGTGCTAGAATTAAGCAGTATTGGAATGTCTTCATTTTACAAATGTGATGTACAATTCTGGGTGCAACCACAGTTTTTTTACAGACGTGAAAGCTCCATACCTGAACATTCCAAAGAATACAAATATATGTACATAAAGTGCTAAGGTTTAAGCATGTTTTCAACAACTTCACAACATGGATCTAGTTCATTACAGGCACTGTAATTTACTAAGTAGCTTGTCTCTTTGGGCAGCACTACAAAAAGAAAAGCCACTTAGACATCACTGGGCGATCTTGAACGAAAGGACACTTTAGACTGAAAGCAGCCACAAAAAAGAACCCACATCGCCCTCTGAATTTCTTGGTTTCTGTAGGCATAAATGATAGGATTGATCATGGAGTTGTAAGTAGCAGGCAGAAGTGTGGCGTAAGTGTACACAGAAGGGTAGTCAAGATCTCCAACTACACAATAGATTGCAAATGGTAACCAGCTTGCTCCAAAGGTCCCAATAATTATAGCAAGCGTAGAGACTCCTTTTTTAGTAGCAACATAGTGAGATGCAGTCAAAAAATGTTGCTGGAGAGCTATCTGATGTGCATGCCTGCAAACTATTTTGCAGATTTTAATGTACAGATGAAGCATGATGATAAAAACCAAAAAGAAAGAGGCAGACAGCAAAGTCACGTTACTTTTGGTCAAGGGTCTGACAATACTGCAGGATGAATAGTCATCTAGACAATTCCAGCCTAGAACAGGTAGTAGTCCCAAGCAGAGGGACACCCCCCAGGTAACGACCAGCATCATATGAATGCAGAGGACCGTCTTCTCTGAGTAATAAGTCAGTGCATTGTACAGGGAAAGGTAACGATCAACTGTGATGGCTAACAAGCTACTCACAGAAGCAGTGAAGGAGGCAACTAAGAATCCAACGGTAATAAGGCTAATGGTCTCTGACTGGATCACATATTGAAAAACAAAATTCAGGATTAAGCCAACTCCAGCCAGTAGGTCCGCTGTGGCCAGGCTCCCAATGAGCACAAACATAGGGGTTCTCAGGGTGGGAGTGTAGAATATAATGGCCACCACGATGGCATTTTCACAGGCGATGATGGTCCCGGAGATGCAGAGCACAACGTCCCAGGGGTTGATGGCAAAGACGGGGAGCTGCGAGGAGAGCTCCAGGGAAGAGTTGCCATGGCTGGCTTGCATGCGGGCTAAAGGGACCCCGGTGCCATTGAGCGAGCCGCTTTCATTCATCTCTGCCGAAGCCAGGTGCGCCGCCTGCGAGCAGAAGAGGCGAGGAGGCAAATGAGCACAAAGTGAGCAGCGGGGGCAGCTCCAGGCTCCTTTCCCCTGCCCCCCAGACTGCCGGGGCGCGGGGAGAGGACAGGACCGCGCCTGGCGGGGCGGGGCGGGTCACGCCTGAGAGGGAAGGAAACGTGCCCAGGGAAGGGTGGGGGGATGTGGCAGAATAAAGGCCAACCCCCCGCCACCAGCGGGAAGGCAGGAAAGACACGAGGCAGCGGCTCAGAGCCCTGACCGTGGTGCTGAACCCGCCGGTCCCCGTGCCAGCCGCTGCGCTGAGCCCAGCCGGGGGTGCGCTTGGCCAGGCGCAGGGCCCGGGCGCTGCAGTTTTTGCCGCCCCAAGCTGTGAAAAAAACCGGCCGCCGCGGCTCTGAGGGGCAAAAGGCAGAAGCCGCCGCCGATCTCCCGCCGCGGCCGGAGGCCCCGCCGCCCCTGTCGAAGGGGCGCCCCACGCACCTGCTTGGCACGCTGGTGCCTGCAGCCCGCCCTGGCCCAAGCGCGGGGTGGCTGGGCACAGCCCGGGGCAGGCTGCGGGGCTGCGGCACGAGCCGCGGGAGCGGGCTCCGCCGCCGAGCCGCGATCCGGGGAGGGCAGTTGCACCGGGTCCTTACTTGGGATCAGGGCTGGCAGGCGCTTCTCATGAGCGCGGCGGGGCCGGCTGCCGAGCGGGGCCGGGGCGGCCAGGAGCCGGGGCGGGCAGGAGGCAGCTGGCGGAGCGGGCAGGGGCAGGCGGGCTGCTGCTGCTGCGGCTGCTGCTGCCGCCGCCTCCCGTGTGTGTGAGAGTGTGAGGGCGCGCGGGCGGCCGCCGGCTTGTTCCGAATGTGACGTCAATGGCAGACCGAGGGCAGGGGCAGAACTCCGGCGGCGGCACGTGGCCCCGGGTCCAGCGCGGAGGGGAGGGGGGAGACACAGCAGCCGCCGAGCAGGGGAGGGCAGAGGCGGCAGCGCGCGGGGGAGGGGGAGTCAGCAGGGCGGGAAGTCGCGGGAGAGGAGGGACATGAGCACTGGCAGGAGCAGTGGGGGCAGGGGCAGCACTGACGGCAGGAGGAGAGACAGCGGCATAGAAAGGAGGGGGCAGCACTGAGGGAGGGGCAGCACCGATGGGAGGAGAGCAGGAGCAGCACGGAGGGCAGGCGGAGGGGGCGGCATTGAGGGGGAGGGAGGGAGGTGGGAGAGGCACAGGGAGTTAGCGGGCAGGAGATGGCAAGAACTGGGGCTCCCTTCCTCCCCTCCTGTAAAGCAAAGAGCACTACTTCTGGTGAACCCCCAGCTGGAAGAGACTGCATCGCAGCTGCCCGTTGGGGGGCGGGGGGAGGGAGCTATAGAGTAAGAGATGCTAAGAGGCGCTTCCAGGGGCTAAGATGAAGGCAGAGAAGGCGCCCTTCCCCCGCGCCCATTTCTCCTTTCCCTCTTTGCGCCATCTGAGCAAGCTAGCCCATGGTCTTGTGCGTGCGTGTTGGGGGGAGGAACATAAGAACGGCTGTACTGGGTCAGACTAAGGGTTCATCTAGCCCCAGAGCCTGGGTGCTGACAGTGGCCAATACCAGGTGCCCCAGAGGAAATGAGAAGAACAGGTACTCAGCAAGTGTAGCAATCCAGTCCCCCACCTAGTCCCAGCTTCTGGAAAACAGAGGCTAGGGACACTGCCCAAGGGGACACTTTACTGTGCAGGTCTCAGTGTGATTTTCATTCCTGAATATTTAAGCAGTTGAAGCCCAGCCCCAATAGGAACCGAGGAAAAGACTTGTGCTTTCTTGACAACAGATTTTGCCCTGTGAATTGTCACCCCATAAAGCAAGTAGCTATACTGACAGCGTGAGCACTCTACTGCAACATGCTGTAGAAAGCAAGGGAGTTTTCCAGGTCATTCATGGTCAGCACAGTTTCAAATTGATTCCCTTACAAATAATTTTGTAAGACAAACAATAAGTCTAGATCACTGACTGTATTTAGGACTTTGAAAAGGGGCGCACTGTTTATGCAAATACTATATATTTCACAGTAAATAGGGGTCTAACAGCCCTAGCTAACACTTGCTACCTAAAAAAACAGGGTTCAACATCATTCACCAACATAATAATGAAATTAAATGAAACCACATATATATTACTGGCTCTCTCAAGAATTAAAAAAACAAACAAAAAAATCAACCAGCCAACCCCCACACACTCAACTAAGAACTATCAAAATAATATCTTAAAAGAGAAATCCAGAGATGCATACTTTGAATAGACAACTTTCTTTGAAGTGAAAAAGAGATGCTGTGGTTAAAATTACATCTCTATTATGATTCTCCCCACTTAGAGTCGTATGTAACAGCCTAATGAATAGTCCTTAGGCAGAAGAGATTCCCATCTTCAATGTTCACTTGTGTTTTGTTTGCATCCAATTAATTGTCATTATTCTTGGATAAAGGACAAATATTAAACAATATTTCTTCTGACCTAAACTCAGGTGTCTGATAGATACAGTTCTTAAGTTGATTATTACCAAACAAAAATAAGATTTAGCTAGAAGATAAAACCTAGAGCATATTCTATATCACGTTACTGTTTATTTGGGAAGAAAAATCCAGTTTCTCCTTTATTTCTGGCTCTTCTTTTCCTTCTTTTTTTGTATGGATTTCTCTTTGGAGCCCTATCCATATTCTCTCTATAGGCAAGATATTGGAAGTTTTGTGTTTGTACACCACCTAGCACAATGGGGTCCAACCTATCATTTTGCCTGGTAGTAGCAATATGAATATTAAATAATAATAAAGGAAGTCGTTGTTTGGTTAGCAGTCCATAAACATTCTTTACTTTCCTTTTCTAGTAAGAAATAATATTCCAGTGGTGACAACCTGCTCAACACTGTGGATATCCTCACAGCTTTTCCTAAGGCTGACCCCAAAATGATGTGATCACAATAGATTGAAGTCAATTACATTGGAAAGACGGGTGGGGATAGTTTCTCAGGCTCACTTTTTGCTGTCTTCCATTCAAATAGCTGTAGCATCCAATATGTGCCCTCTATTAAAAGATAATAGCTGGGGAAATAAAGTGTAGCTGTTTGTTTCACGGTGATTATGGTCTCATTAATTTTATTTAATTATGTATTAATTAGATAATGCGTGTAAAAAGCTTTGATGATAAAAAGTAGTTCATAAAAGTGCTAAGTATTATTACTGACTATTTGTAAGTTGCTACCAATTGTTGTTTTACATATGATTATTTGGAACAAAGCAAATCTTTAAAAAAAATCCCATTTCACCTTTTCACAAGCACATTTGAACTACAGAAGAGTCATTTTTCGCTCTCCAACATAAGGAATCCTTAAAATAAAGAGAAAAAATGGGGATACACAGATGGTGAACTACACAATGCTGACATTTCAGATATTTCCATCCAGCTGGTGTAAGAGAGCTTTTTAAACATCTCAAAACCCATTTATTTACATCTTAAAGTGTATGAGTGCTGAGCTTACCTCATCACATTGTGTCATTATTTACCAGCATCTGGTTAACGTTTCCCCTTTGCTGATCTTTTAGATTTATGTCCAGATTCTATCTGCACACATACCGCACCACTACTGCTACTAGCAAAAAGCAAACTTAACAGATACCCAGGTGCCATTTAATATATTGGATACAGAACTTTCATCTGTCCAAATACATTTTCTCTTTCATACATAATGTTTCCCATGGGATTTTCTGGCTCTGCTTCTTCTTTTACAAATTTTTTCAAGCACTTGTTTTGCTTTTTCCTCTCTGTGTATATTATATACAGTAATTATTTTACCAGTACTACTGAAGAATCTTTTTTCTTGTTGTGTAACTGTGCTATATATGATTACATAAGCACAGAAATACAGCTATATAAATAGCTGTACCACAGAAATATAACTATACAATTTGCCATACCACTTATTTTTAGTTTTCTGTGTTTAGGATACATCTTTTTTCTATACAAATAAAACTGCATTGTCAAATGGATGTTTATGAGTAGTTGTAGTAGTCACATTTTATTTTTGAATTGCTGGTATATTACACAGGGCCAAATTCAGCCCTGGTGTAATCAGGTGAAATCTGACAAACGACATTGCACCTGCTTACTTGGGGGATGAACTTGGCCCACACTCTAAGGCTATGTCTATTCTGCCTCACAGTTCAGACTACAGAGGTGTGATGAGCAGGACGCACCAAAGTACCGCACTGTAACTCCCTATGTAGACACTGCAGGCAAAAACGAAAAGGTTCCTGGGTCACCTGCATGTAGTCCTATTTGAAGAGAATTACATTCATGTGAACTAGGAACTGTTTATTTTCTGCCCACAGCAACCACATGGGGGAGTTACAGTGCAGCACTTTGGTGCACACTGCTATTCATGCAGTGGTAGTCTGAACTGCTGAGCAGTGCAGTCAAGCGCTAAGTTGAAGCCATATTTCTAAACAATCATGCGTTTCTTTCACATTGAAAAGAAAATGTAAAAATATATAAATAGATGCAGAAAATTAAACTGAAGCAAAACTAAATATATCTTGCATTGATATAGAACCTTTCATTCATGGATCTCAAAATGCTTTATAAACAATAATGAATCCTCACAATTCCTCTATGAGATAGAAGAATTATGTCCATTTAAGGCTGAGTAAAGAGAGAGGTCAACTGACTTTCCCAAGGTCAATCAGTGACAGAAACAGTACCCAGGAGGCACGACTTACAGTTCTCTGCTCTTAACACTAGACTAATTACCTAGTCTAGTAGTTCATCCACTCAGGTAATGGAGTACACATGAAACTTGGAAATAGCATTAACCTTTCTGAAGTCTGTGCAGACTAGAATAGTGCCATCTGGTTTATAGGCCAGGCCAACTTGGCTTTGTGAATTGCTGTGAGATTCTTCAATGGCTCCTAAATCCAGCATGTGCAGAGCTCCCTTTTTTTTTTTTTTTTTTTTTAAAAAGCAGCCAATAGTTCTCCCAGACATGTTGCCCCTGTTCTGGTCATGATGTTGAATTATTAGGTGGGTTTATCGCAGCTGAGATGACAATATCTCAGAGCAGTTGTCTCACTTGGGATCCTGGTCCCGGGCAGAGTTTCACCCTTACCTGTACAGAGTCAGGATCCTGCAAGACAGATGCTTGGGGTCTCAGTACTGGCTCAAATGGATAAAGAAGGATCATAGAATCATAGAATATCAGGGTTGGAAGGGACCTCAGGAGGTCATCTAGTCCAACCCCCTGCTCAAAGCAGGACCAATCCCCAATTAAATCATCCCAGCCAGGGCTTTGTCAAGCCTGACCTTAAAAACCTCTAAGGAAGGAGATTCTACCACCTCCCTAGGTAACGCATTCCAGTGTTTCACCACCCTCCTAGTGAAAAATTTTTTCCTAATATCCAACCTAAACCTCCCCCACTGCAACTTGAGACCATTACTCCTTGTCCTGTCCTCTTCTATCACTGAGAATAGTCTAGAACCATCCTCTCTGGAACCACCTCTCAGGTAGTTGAAAGCAGCTATCAAATCCCCCCTCATTCTTCTCTTCTGCAGACTAAACAATCCCAGTTTCCTCAGCCTCTCCTCATAAGTCATGTGTTCCAGACCCCTAATCATTTTTGTTGCCCTTCGCTGGACTCTCTCCAATTTATCCACATCCTTCTTGTAGTGTGGGGCCCAAAACTGGACACAGTACTCCAGATGAGGCTTCACCAATGCCGAATAGAGGGGGACAATCACGTCCCTCGATCTGCTCGCTATGCCCCTACTTATACATCCCAAAATGCCATTGGCCTTCTTGGCAACAAGGGCACACTGCTGACTCATATCCAGCTTCTCGTCCACTGTCACCCCTAGGTCCTTTTCCGCAGAACTGCTGCCTAGCCATTCGGTCCCTAGTCTGTAGTGGTGCATTGGGTTCTTCCGTCCTAAGTG